TTGACGGAGTTTACGAATAGCGGAGTCGGCAGAACTAGCACGATCCGGGTCATCGTATAACATGGCCATGGTAGCAAAAAATGCTTCTAGGGATAAACGGGCAGGGTCAGAGGAGGGTAATCTTAGTGCCCAGACTTGTGGGTCACCTTGTAGTAAGGTCATAACGAACCTTACTTCATCCTCACCAGTAGGGAAGTTGTGAGGGAAAAAACTGAGGTATAACTTACAAGCCTCTTGAAAAACAAAAAATTTACCCCTATCCCCACTAAACTTATCAGGAAAGGGGATTTTTGGGTCATGGGAAAAATCTCTATTACCAGGAGTTACTGACGAAGTAGACCCCTCAGGAATCTCAGATTGCTGTGCATCCAACCTCTCAGAGAGAGACCGCAGACCTTGAATAATGAAATTCTGCTTCCCCTCTTGTTCATCGAGGCGCTGGAGGAGGGTCGAATACAGCAGTTCAGTGGTTTGCGGAATAGCAGGAGCTTCTTCCATTTTCTTCCGTCTCATGGGCCCGTTGTACTGTCACGGTCGGCACCCTACACCAGAACAGAGGCCAAGCACCCTGGTCTCGGCTCGACTTCACCAGTTAAGTGACCGCCTTTGGCCTCGGGAGGAGCCCTCGGCGTACTCAGATGCCACCTGGACTTAACGAGAGGTGCAAGGCATAAGTTCTGGCAGGCAATGGGGCACGACTGTTTTACAAGGATGTTGGAAGATAGGAAGCCACAGGAACAGGCAGGCCGGGCCAGCACAAGCAGTAGAGTAGTCAGACAGGCCAAAATCAGGATAGAGAAAGCGTAGAATGGTCAATGGACAGGCAGAGGTCAGGATTGGAGATGTCAGAATAGTCACAGACTAGCAGGATCAAGATTGGAGAGTTCGGAGTTAACAGACAGGCAAAGGTCAGGATTAGAGAGATCAGCGTAGTAAATCAGGCAGGCAAGGGTCAAACACAGTAGATCAATCAGGAATCTCAAGGAATAAGCACCCAGGAACAAGCTAATATGAACCTAACAACGGGCAACTTGCTGAAACCTAAATTCCCCTT